GGTAAGATGCTTTTGACGTTGTTTGTTGTTCAGGCTTGACAAGAGGAATACGACATTTGAAGCCCATGTCCAGGATCCGTCTGTGTGTGGTGGCTCTTGATGCACTGACTCCAGCCTCAGTCCACTCCTTGTGAAAGTCCCCAACACTTTTGAATGGCCTTTTCCTGCCAATCCTCTCCAGGCTGCGGTCATCCCTGCTGCTTGCGCACCTTTTTCTTCCACTCTTTTCCCTTCCACAGAACTTTCTATCAAAGTGCTTTGATACAGCACTTTGGTAACATCCAACTTCTTTTGCAATTACCTTTTGAGGCTTTCCCTCCTTATGGAGGGTGTCAGTGATGGTTTTCTGCACAACTGTCAGGCCAGCAGTCTTTCCCATGATTGTGATTCCTACTGAACCAGACTGAGAGACCATTTAAAGGCTCAGGAACCCTTTGCAGGTGTTATGGCTTAATTAGCTGATTAGAGTGGGACACTTTGAAACTAGAATATTGCACCTTTTCACAATATTAAAATTTTCTGAGATTGTAGATTTGGGGTTTTCATGAGCTGTAAGCCATAATCATCACAATTATGACAAATCACGGCTTGAACTATCTTGCTTTGCATGTAATGAGTCTATCTCATATATTAGTTTCACCTTTTAAGTTGCATTACTGAAATAAATGAACATTTGCACAATATTCTAATTTTTTGCATTTCACCTGTATATCTTGCGATGTGCAAGCTGGTTATCTAGCAGCTCGGAGACGATGGATGGTCAATGTCTGGTCTTGATGACATGCTGAGCAGAATGGCCATAACATCGAACCATATGGTTTATGCCTTATGTTTATACAGCATAATTGCCATACAAGATCTTCATTAGACTGCCTATTGCACAATATCATCTGGAATTGTATAGGTGTATTCAGTATCCAGATCGTAATAATGCCAACAGTCTGCAATTCGTAGCCTAATAACTGGAGGACAGGGTTTGGATTCCATAGACCATTTACATCCTATACTATATGACATTCCTGCTGATATTATGGAGGTCCAATATGAATGAGGATATGTAGACAGTCTCTATATTTAACCAATACATTATTGTATAAGACAACATGCACTCTATTCCATTTGCTTTATAATTATCTTTCCATAGGAATGTAAGGAGGGACTGATGAGTTTAGTGTTTTTTAACACATTCTTGTCTGTCCTCCTTAAATGTGGCCACTTTTTGTGTGTATGCTTTTGTGTTGTATTGTGGTAGACAACATTGTCTAAGGGAGGGTTCGGCTGTGTGTGTTCATCTTGATATCTTGTCATTGGACAAGTATTTTTAGCCTATATAATCCAATAAACATTATATATTTTTTTTAAATATATTTGGGCACATGTCTATTAGTTCATTAAAGTAACCTCTTTCTTTTGGTGGCCACACCTGTTGCTGCCTCCAGTTTTTTAGTGGTGCTTTTGGTTACAGTAAGCTACACTTTAATATAGTGATAGTGGCCTGAAGTATATTATATTAGGCCTCTTTTTTGTCTCTTTTTTCTAAAGAGGAACATGTATTACCCTAAAATTAACTTTATTGTGTTTTCTACTGATATTGTGAGTTTCCTAGACCTTTGTGGTAATATCATGTTTCATAAAAAATTGGAACTACCACTATTTTAATCTATATTGTGTTTGCTTTCAGAAAATATATAATATTTTGGGGGTTTTATGTAATTTTCAGGCCTAAAAGTTTTTTTAACCACTTGCCTACCGGGCACTTATACCCCCTTCTTTACCAGGCCAGTTTTCAGCTTTCAGCGCTGTCGCACTTTGAATGACAATTGCGCGGTCATGCAAGATTGTACCCATATGAAATTTTTATAATTTTTTTCTCACAAATAGAGCTTTCTTTTGGTGGTATTTAATTGCTGCTGGGTGCTTTACTTTTTGTGTTATAAACAAAAAATTGTAAAAAAAAAAAAAAGAATTTTCTTTGTTTCCATTATAAAATTTTTCAAACAGGTAATTTTTCTCCTTCACTGATGTGCGTTGATGAGGCAGCACTGATGGGCACTGATAGGCGGCACTGATAGGCAGCACTGATGGGCACTGATAGGCAGCACTGAAGGGCACTGATAGGCAGCACTGATAGGCAGCACTAATGAGGTGGCACGGATAGGCGGCACTGATAGGCAGCACTAATGTGGTGTCACGGATAGGTGGCACTGATAGGCAGTACTGATAGGTGGCACTCATAGGCGGCACTGATGATGGGTACTGATAGCACTGATAGGTGGCACTGACTGGCATCACTGCTGGGCACTGACTGACAGCAACTGCTAGGCATTGACTGGCGCAACTGCTGGGCACTAACTGGCACAGCTGCTGGGCACTAACTGGGTAGCACTGACTGGCAGCACTGCATTGATGGACACTGGTGGGTGGCACTGGTGGGCACAGGTGGGTGACACAGGTGGGTGGGCACAGGTGGGTGGCACTTTTGGGTACAGGTGGGTGCACTGCTGGGCACAGGTGGGTGCACTGCTGGGCACAGGTTTTGGCGGAACTGGTGGGTGGCACTGCTGGGCACCGATCATCAGGGCACTGATGATCGGTGCCGATCCCTGCTCTGACAACTGACGGTTCTCGGCAGTACTTACCTCACGCTCTGACAGCGTGAGGAAAGTGCAGCCGAGAACCGGCAATTGCATTTCCCAGTGATCAGCGTGCAATTGGACATGGCTGATCACGTAAAAGTCCGCTGTGATTGGTCTTTTACCACATCACGTGATCAGCTGTGTCCGTAGGACACAGCGATCACGGAGATCGCCGGGTGCGTGCAGGAGAGCGCGTTCTGGGAGGATGTCATATGATGCCCTTCCAGAACTGACCGGCCGCAGTGTAGCCGTCATTCGGCTATCTGTGGTTGGCAAGTAGTTAAACGTGTGTGGAAAAAACTCAAAACCGAAAGGGTTAAAGCATACTCAATAAAACAGATCCTTTTTAGAAAATTTATTTTTATTTTATTTTTACAAGTACTATATAGTGCCATCAATGTCTGCATTGCTTTACATAAATTTATATATATATATATATATATATATATATATATATACTGTATATATATATATATATATATGAGAAAAGAATAGGCGCTGTGGAAAATGCTCTCAGTCAAGCACTTTAATGAAGGTGCATCTTTATTAAGTGAGATAAAGTAGAAAATATAGCATTTTGACCAGCTTGAAGCGAACAGTGTGACTCCTAAAGACGGCCCATCTGCTCTGAAGGGAGCTGAGATCGGAGAATGCTCCTGTCGGCTTCAAATCACGTGGTGTCAGCGTACAGGTGTCCGGGGGTGGCATCATCACTGCAAGCCAAGGGCGGAAGGCAGTGTCCAGCATCGGCTTCAACTGGGAGCATATGCAGGGTTACCAAGACCACATGTTTTGTGCAGTTGCGCTTTGTCAAGTCTCTGGTAACCCTGGTCGGCGGCCATTATATAGAAGACCATTAGAGGGAAGGCTGGCTGAGTGTAATTAGCAGGGGATGGGGTGTCAATCACAGCGGGCGGCTCGTCCCGAAGCAATGCTAAATACAAATTTAAAAGTACAAATTGCAAGTTATAGAAAGTGATGCCAATTAATGGAGTGATATGCATAAAAACACTATTGGAAGACATGATATACTTTTATCTTTAGCCGAATTAATGTAATAATAAAACAATAAAATAATAAAAGGATAACTTTCTTGTGGGAGAACTCTAAGTTAAAAATGACATCGCTGGTACATGGAAGCTATATCTTTGTCAAAAAATGTGTTTTATAGTGAGGTATATATATATTGTACATTTACATCAGTCCCTAACCCTCAAGGAGCTTACAATCTAAGGTCCCTAACTCACATTCATACATATAGTAGGGCCAATTTAGACTGGAGTCAAATTAACCTACCAGCATGTCTTTGGATCATGGGAGGAAACCCAGGCAGGCACAGGGAGAACATACAAACTCCATGCAGGTAGTGCTGTAGGTGGGAATCGAATCAATGACCCTAGTGCTGCCAGGAGGAAGCGCTAACCATTTAGCCTCTGTGCTGCCCATATTTATACCTCTCCAGTGTTTACACAGCATTTTTTACTCCCCAAAATTGTAGTCCTGTAAGGTCCTTATTATGGTGTTTTACACAGTGCCTAGATACATTGTGATTCTTATATCATCTTTTGAAATTATAAAAATGTATCTCTACTCTGATTTCCGAAGTATGAATCGTTAAAGCAACACATTGCAGGCTACATGGGCCTTTTTCATAAAATAAACTCTATTTTGCCTCTTTTTTAGTTTTATATGTTTTAGTAACAATCTTTTTTAACTATGTATGTAATGTAGTGGTACCAATGTAAAAACTAATTTTACAACATTTTAATAATTTTATTTAACACAGTAAGACAGCAGTGTGTAATTTTCATATTCTTTGATTCTCTCAGTTCTTTTTTTAGTGCATGGACCCATGCTGTTCTGTTTGTTAATGCTTTTAGTGTAACTTTATGGGTTGAATCACAATGGAGTTGTGCTGGTAATGTGTAGATATTTGGGGAAACACTGAATAAAGTTTAGAATTTGGTTAACATACTTAATTAGCAGTAAGTCTTGGGTTTGAATTCCATCTGGGGCACTATATTGATAGAAGTGTATATTCAGTCAGTTTTTTGTGTCAGTTTTTAGAATGAAACCATTGCCTAGCCATTCCTCTGATGCAACCAGTTCTGTACCATTGAAACTGGTCAGTTGGTGGCTATTAATCCTCCCCTCACTTGCTCCTATTTGAATCTTGGAATGAAATAGACCAAATTTTGAAGGGCCTTATGTTGTAGAGGCAAATTCTGCCTCAATTTCCTTGTTTGAAATCTTTTGGTGTGGTATCTAATGGTTGATATTGGTGATACTTTATCCATTACTTACCTATAGCCAAAGAACTGGATCAATGCTGATACAACTGTATTAATTAAAGTGTTACTAAACCCAGGACTCTGCATTCACTATATCTGGTCTCCCACAGTACACAGAACATCGAAGTGCAATTATTTTAGTAAATATAACCTGCTAAATACCTTTTCTCATCAACAGTTTATAGCAGTCTTGTGACTTCTTGTGTCCAGCAGAGCACATGTTAAAGCTTGTAGGAGGAGTTTTCATTTTGTTTTGGAAAGCTGCAGGACCCCTGACCTCTTTCTGCACAGTGCTGATTGGCCCTGTGCTGATCACATGCACTCCCCATGAAAGAAACACTTCTCTGGCAATAAACACCAAACAGAGCATGTGCAGAGTGTCTCCAGGGCCATCTTTAAGGAGGGGCAAAAGGGGGGCAGCTGCCCTAGGCCCAGTAATTGTTGTGGGGCCCAAAGCAGCTATCCCATACTTGCCAACTGTAGTGATTTACTTTCCCTTTGTCCCAGAATGTGTGCAATATCTCAGTATGAAGTGCTGTCACTTATGCTGCCCAGCTCTGTCCTATTGCCATATACAGATGACTCACATATGCAGACCCTGTCAGCATTCACATGTGAATAACCGGCATTAATATGTAAATAGCGAAGACAGTGTGACATTCATATGTACAGTATGTATGCCCCTGGAGGTTCCAGCCACCAACACCTCTGTTGGTGGGCAGTGCAAATTCCCCCTTACATTGGTGGCTAGTGTAGGAATCTATTGGTTGTTGGTGTAAAATCCGCCAATACATTGGATGTCAATGTAAATTCCCCATTACATTAGTGACCACTGTAAATTTCCCTTTACATTGGTGGTCAGTGCATAATTGCCCTTACACTGGTGGTCAGTGTAAATCCCCCTTACATTGGTCATTGCTTTTAATCCCCCCTAACATTGGTGGTTGGTGTAGAAATGTCACCTCCCATCCCCATCCAGCACTGCCATTGATTCTATCCACCCCAAGCACTGCCATCCCCCCATCAGCACTGTCACTCATCCCAACCCCCCCCCCCACACTGCCACCTATGCCATCCTCCCCATCACTGCCACTGATCTCGCCCCCCCCCCCCCCCCACTTCCACTGATCCCATCAACCCTCCCTCCAGCACTGCCACTGATCACACCCTCCTGTCCAGCACTGCCATTGATCCCAGCAGTCCTAGGAGTTTTCTGTCTATTGGTGGGTCCCCTAACCTTCTTAGTCCATGGTGTGCAGGCAGTGAGATGATGTGCTGTAATCTTCAGCAACTAATCAGTGAGTGGTAAGAACGTGCAGTAACCTCTAGCAACCAATGGGTGAGCAGTAATGATGTGCAGTAACCCTCTGAGAACCAATTAAAGAGTGGTAATAATGTGCAGTAACCTCCAGCCAACCAGTGACCAGTAATGATGTGCAGTAACCTGTAGCAACCAATCAGTGAGCGGCAAGGATGTGCTGTAACCTCTAGCAATCAGTCAGTGGGCAGTAATGATATGCTGTAACCTCCAGCAATCATTTGCAATTTCTGCCTGATCTGCTGCAGTAAACTGATTTTGAGTTTAGCGGATATGTATTGTATGTCTCAGAGCAGGTGGAGAGCAAAAAGGGGGGCATAAAAATGTTTGCCCATGGTACAATCATTATTAAAGATGGCTCTGAGTGTCTCCACACCATATATCTTAGCAGGAGATAAGAGGGGGTCACTGGAAAAAGGGGAAGGTCAAAGAATTCAGGATCAAACAGTGTTTTTACTTAATGCAGAGGATTAACTCCTTATGTTCCACAGTGAGTATAACAAGCATGCTTTACTGCATATACGGACTGATTTAACTGTTGTGGGTTTAATAACACTTTAACTCTGTTATCTGACATATAACTGAGACACTCTTGGCAGATGCTGACTATGCTGTAGACATGCCCAGCATGCCTGCTGTGTCTCTCATTGAGTTTGGAAAATATATTCTATACAGAGGCGGATTACTTTATTATATTTGACCTATTGATCGAATGTGGATCTAAGGACAGCTTGGAGTGGATTCTCTGCAGGGCATAGTGGAAAAGGCATTATTACTATTCACCCATAGTCAGTATAAATCCTTGAAAGCTGTATCTTCAATGTACAACCATTTAAAAGTTGCACACTTTGTCTTTGTACCAAGCTTTTTTGGTCCTTACCTACATCACACATTGGAATGCCGTAATAGCAAAGCTCTTGAATGTATATGGTGGATTTCACATACATGGTGGATTGAACATATATGGTGGGTGCAACTGCACAGTGGAACACTTGCCCACATCATGTAGAAACAGGGGAGTTGATGTTGGGGAAATAACTTTAAACTTACGTCTTTGCCAAGTTTTAATGTCAACATATAGTATTTGTACATAAGTGGTTGTTTTTCCATTTTGTATTACCCTTTGCTTAATGATTTTGATATGTCTTGATTTAATATACTATAGTAGTTGATTGAGTCTCAATCAAGTTTTAATGTTTTGTTGGTTTTTAATTTCGATACTGATACCTCCTCCACTTATTTCTAAATATAAATATGTATTAATTTTTTTAGAACCTTGTTTTTTTTTTTCCACTTTTTTATTCAGGTTTCAAGGATGAGCAGATCTTCCCGTGTTTGGTTTGCAAACAGTTTTGCAAATTGTTTGCAAACTATACAGTGAACTCCATTGAAGTATAAAAGGCATGGAAAGCCAGGCATTGTCATGGCGCGGGGGGGTGCATATACCAATGTCAAATCTTAAAAATATAAATAATAAAAATGTAAAAGCAGTGCACACAGAATTGCTAAAAGCACTAACACACACTATGAGACCACACTTTTATAGAAATGGGTGTGGCAAAGCAAGGGTCCCCTGGGAGAGCACACTGTCTCCTTGGTAACAAGGGCAATGACCTCTTCTTGAAATGTGGGGGTCTGCAGGAGGGGGCTTATCAGAATCTGGAGACCCCACCCACTATAAATTAAGTGGTCCCCCATATATCCAGCTCCTCACCCTATGTGAATGAATAAAAAAATTACATCCCACAATATCCAAAAAAACAATGACCTATGATGTTCAAAAAATAATGTCCCACAGTGTCAATGTCCAATGATAATCCTCACCTGTCAATGCTGTGTTGCCAATGACATCTCCTTGGCTGGCTGCTTAATATAAAAAAACCAGCCTGGGTACTTGTTAACATCATTGACTAAATCTGGTCAATGACATTAGAAGGTATTTCTCATCTGCAGGTTCATTATCAATGTGAAGCAAGCTGGCAGAGATCCATTTATTTAGTGATGGTAATGATACTGCCATTAAATGAATGATTGCAGCAGTTGGGGATTCATGTGGGCAAACTTGCCAATTAGTTCACCTGTTTTGTGAACCTCAAGCAGCTAGAGAGGGTCAAAACTCACCTTCAGCCAGAATCCAAAGCTTATTTCTACTCACCAGTATTGTTTGTAGTTTCCCTGCAGCTGATTTTTTCCCTGTGGGGTGGTGGCCATCAAAGTTTACTTCTTCATGTAAGATCTGAACCTCTTGATGACTACTTGAAGCAGAATGCCTCCTTACTTGCCATGCTCAGATGCAGATTTCTTAATTCTTTTTACCACAAATCTCTGGGTTCTCACAATTCTCAGGGCTCTTTGACATGCCCAAGGAATATAAGTTTTCCTGTTTTGTGCCCTCAGCAGCTCAGAGAGATTGCACTTTATGAGGCAGAAGTGCTAGGTATGTAATATGCAGCCAGATGCACAGTTTTCCACTGTTAGTCCCGGCATGTAAATGTTACAACTTTGTACAGTTTTGTTCAGGTTCTGCTCATTTCCAGCCATGTTCCAGCACTCTCTGTGCCCTGCTGCAGCCCAGGATTTCCTTATGACTTTATTTACAGTTCAATTGTGGTTTCTAGCATGCATCACCACATGCACATTAAGCTGGGATTGGCCTAGTGGGTATTTAGAAGTAGCCTTCAAACAGACTTATGCTGTGTTTTCAAATTAGTCACCCATGAACAAGAGCTAAAATACTAAAGCCTGTTACCTGCAGTTGCTGACCTGGATTAACTGATTATTCTCTGTTCTGTCTTGTCATTCCAAGGGCTTCAATTGATTTCCCTCGCAGCAAAGGGTTTGATGAACTCGTAGGGTTTTCAGCCTATCTTTACAATCAGTCACTCTAGTAAATGCAGACTAACTGGCATTTAGATTTCAAGCCTTAGGTGATTCCCATCACCTGCCAAAGGTTATTTTAATGAGAGGTAGCCAGACATGAACATGATAGCATGAAACTTCCATGAAAGAAACAGCCACTGTAAGAAGAGCTTCTCCAATTGTTTCCAGGGACTGCACTTCAAGTGGGGTGGTCCCACATCTCCAGCAGCTTTAACTGTGTTACCAGTCCAGAGACTCCTACAACCACTTGTCTCTGATACCAGTCCTGAGATCTTGCCAGCTGTTTGCCTGTGTTACCAGACGTAGCCTGGACTTTATTGTGAGGATGAGTGCAAGTAGATGTCTGTGTACTCTACTGTTTATTAAAGTAGTAATTTTCCTCTAATCTCAGTTAATATAGCTTATAGAGACTATACTGCGCTGTCGCCTAGTGCCCTAGTGGCTTCGGAGGCATTTCTCTGATGAACTCTTGTTTTCACAGCTTCATAATTTGTTAACATTATTCTTTACTGTATCTATACTTTTGTCATTCTGATCCTGTTCCTATTGTTAATCAATCCAACTCTGCACTTATTTAGTGACCAAATTCCAAATCTGTTACATGGTGATCTAATGACTGATTGACTGAAAAGTCAAACAGAAGTAGAGGTTCAGAATGCACAGATTCACAGAATGAATGAACCAAAAGCACTTGCACTGCGGCTTTCTGTCCAGCAAGGACGACAGTATGCAGCACAATAGTGATATCACCAAACCTTATAAACCAAGCACACTTAGAATATTGAAGTTTAGATATACAGCTACTGTATGAAAATAAAGGCACAGGAGAGGCATTGATTTTTCCATGAGGAATTCAGGACAAAGAGACAAAGATGGAAAATATTGAGTTTAGGTCCACTTTATAATTTTTGCTATCAAATTTCTAAGGCAGATCTTAGCTATTTCACAGAATAAATTTAACAATTATCATGTCTGGGAATAAGCTGTTCTCTGATATCTGTGCCATACCCTTTATACCACAAATATGGCAGTACCGCATACCCTTTATACCACATTCTGGCAGTATGAGGCCCTGCCAGTGTATTAGGAGAATTGAAGAGTTGAGAAAACTAAGCTTTAGGTTTTCTCTGATATTTTAAATTCCTGAATCAAGGTCTGGAGTCCAGAAGCTTCAAAAAGCTTTGGGTAGAAAGTAGCCTCCACCCCTGTGTTCAGTTCTTACCAGAGACCAGCAGGTAGAGTGTGCAGATGAGCAGACTCATTATAATCAATGGCCTGTCTGTAGTTTGTGGCTCCATGTGGGAGACAGGAAGTTTTAGTATAGTTACTCCTATTAAGAGTTCAGGGAGGCACAGAGCCTGGGTTCCATAAAATGGGATGTCTCTAATCAAAAGACTGTACAGGCATGTGGACATTTTTGTTTGCTTGAAGGTTAAAGGAGACTGTGTAATGAGTCTCGGCTGAGACCGATTCAAAGATGAGGCTTTACAATTTTTGTTGGACTGATGCGGCACTGACAATCCCATGTGAGGGCAACATTTTTTGTTTGAACTGTCTTTTGTTTTGAAGAAAAATTGACCAATGAGCACTCAAACATGTTTCCTGTCTGGACTGAACTCACTGTAACAGTGCTATACCATTTGAGTGATATTCCCCAGATTACACCATAAACAAGTGGTCATGTAATGTTTAACCTGCAACAATTTGTCCTAAAGAAGTAAAATGTGCATTTCAAAAAACATTAGTATTATACTCTGTGTGCACAATTATTAGGCAAGTTGTTGTATTTTTGAGGATTCATTTCATTATTGACCAATGACAGTGTTCTCAGTCAATCCAAAATGTTAATAAACTTCATACCTGAATATTTAAGAAAGTAAAAGTGAGGTTTTAGCTTTCTTAGGAGAATATCTATGTGTGCACAACTATTGGGGAAATATTAGTGTGCATAATTATTATGCAACTAAATACAAAAACGAAAATGTTCCATCTCATTTGTTTATTTTTATCTGTTAAAGTAAGAATAATAAACAAGCAATTCAAAATTTACAAATACACATTTTGAAATTAAAAAAAAAAAAAAGAAAATCAGTGACCAATATAGCCTCCCTTCTTTTCAATAACAGTCATAAGCCTTCCTTTCATGGAGTCTGCCAGTTTCTTGATCTGTTGACAATCAACTTTTTGTCCAGCAGCAACCACAGCCTCCCAGATACTGTTCAGAGAGGTGTTTTCCTTCACTGTAAATCTCACATTTAAGAAGGTACCACAAGTTCTCAATAGGGTTTAGGTCAGGTGAGGAAGGGGGCCATGTAATTATTCTTTCACCTTTAAGGTCTTTACTGGCTAGCCAGTAGTAGTTCGATGAATATGATAGTTTTTTTGAAAGATGCAGACTTTTTCGTGTACCATTACTTGAAGAAAGTACCTTCTAAAAATTGGCAACGGGCTTCAGAATTGCTTTTGAGTCCATCTTCAACTCAAAAAGGCCCAACTAGCTTATCTTTAATAATACTAGTCCA